ACACACACACACACACACACACATATATATATATATATATATATATATATATATATATATATATATATATATATACATCGATGGGTGAGGTGTGTATATATATATACCAGAATGAATCTGTGGATTTTAAATAATTTCACGCTTTTTTCCGTTTCCAGTCTTACATTGAAGGAAACGATTATAAAAACACAAAAATTATGAGATAAGAACTACAAAATGGTGACACCATAAAAAGGTCCAGGAAGACCTCAGTACGCTGCCGGATATCTCAAATACTTGACAGCACATCCAGTTTGATATACTTCACTTTGCTAGCTGATTGCTTAGTTAATGCAATTATGATTACATTTCAAAATTTTGTTTTATTGGACGTTAAATTTAGCCCGGAGAAAACTATGAATGCTAAATTACTTCGATTGTAAATCTTTTGAAAACACCTTTCAAAATAGACAGCCTTGATAGAGTTCAAAATCATTTCAAGCAGAGGTTCCCAAGTTTCCTTTAGCTCATGTCTTACTTTTAACCCCAATGTTTCTGTGGCCCATAAAATTATTATAGTGTAAAAAATGACGTCCATTATGTCCGATAAAGCTATACAACTATGTATATTTATTAAAAAAACACAATTTCAAAAGCATTTGAAATATTTCACATGTCCAATGAAACGACTATTTATTATCAATATTTATTTTTTACAGTTATTCCTATATATGACACAAAACAAAAAAAAACTTGGTGCCTGTTGTTTATAGAATTAACCTATCTCTCAACAGTGCTCAACTGAAAAGTTCTGGAGCTCATGTTTAAATCGGTATTTTCAATGCATGACTAACTAAAAGTTATTCAGATACTAAGTAATTAATGAATGTTCATAATCTAAATATATTAAAATGATTTATATGCATTTAATTCCATTAACTTAAGGACTATTAGGCAATAAAAATTCTATGGAGAATTCAATAACTCTCTCATGAATAACTCAAATTGCTTTGCATGAAGCCAAAAGGACATGAATGTACTTACGGCCAAGGAAGATGTCCTTAAGTGTCAATGAAACTGGTACTATAGAGATTAAAATAGACGACCTTAATCCAGTTAAACTTAGAGTCGAGGTATTGGACGGTAACTGCTGGGATCTGACCTCATCATTATAGAAGTTAGATGTAGTTCGGATAACCAGCTCAGACAATGCTTCATTCTTGCAACGTAAGTTGCCGATATGTGCATCCCTTAAAATCGACGAACCAGACTTTAACGCTGACACAAAAATGGACTTCGACTTGAAAATGGACACGAAAACACGGTGCCTGAGTATTATGTGTCTAAACAAGCCAAGGAAGAATATGAACGTAAGTCGCAGACATGACTAGACAACGGATAGTTGTGACCGTATCCTGAAAAAGAACTAGGACCCCAGCAGAGGCTTAATTCCATTCATGGGAGTGGTACAAGAGCACAAGGTTTATGTGTGCCCTATCTACTCACTACTTGGAGCTGATTGAGTACGCTGACGCTCACACAGCTGATGCCGACGTGTGTGTGCAGAAGCTGAGGGAGTGGCGGCAAAGAGGGTCTAATGTTTCAATCCTTGACCTGCGGAAGGCTCACTTGCAATTGCACGTACACAAATTGCTATGGCCATTCTAGAGGGCGATAATTAAGAGGCGTACGTATTGTTTAACCCGAATGGGTTTTGACCTGAACGTGGCGCCAGCTATAATGAAAACGGTTTCAATCAACGAGCAATGTCAGTGTACATAGAGGACATATATGTCAATGAAATTAAAGCGTCTGTGGCGCGTGTACAACAACACCTGGCCCGTCTATGGGTTGACATAAAAGAAGAGAAAGCGGTTAGATAACTGTTATAGTCCAGGTTAGGACCAAGGAAGAGCAACACGAACACAAGAGTCGAAATAACGAAGGCATATTACACGAAATAATAATACAAGATGTGGAAGGTGTTAGTATGACTGTCAGTCTGGTTTGGAGTGAACTACTATCGGCTCGGCTTGATTCGGTATCTAGCCAACCCCCAAGAGGGTTGCATGTGGCACAAGGCCGAGTTTTACGCAGGTTTCCCGAGCCCGTAGGCTCGGCCAAAAAACGCCCTTAGAACCCGTATAAACGGGATCGGGTTGGTCAACCTCCCCGAACGAGACTCTGTCCTTCGGCGGAGCCTCATCCGGGTTCCTCTCTGCTCAGAGGCAGAGAGTTCGACCGTCAAACCGAGAAGCTCGGATTGATTCGGTATCTAGCCACCCCCCCCAAGATGGTTGCATGTGGCACAAGGCCGAGTTTAACGTGGGTTTCCCGAGCCCGTAGGCTCGGGCAAAAAATGTCCATAGAACCAGTATAAACGGGATCGGGTTGGTCAACCTCCCCGAACGAGACTCTGCCTTTTGGCGGAGCCTCGTCCGGGTTCCTCTCTGCTCAGAAGCAGAGAGTTCGACCGTCAAGCCGAGAAGCTCGGCTCGATTCGTCCCTCTTTCTTGAGAGGCGTAGTATACATAGTGTTGGGAAGAGTTCATTCTGTAGTTATAGGTAAGGACCCATGACAATAACGATGTTCGAAAGCTTGGCTTGTATGGCTGGGGTAGGCAGCGCCCTTTAATAAAAGTGTGGTCGCAACTTTCCAGAAGTACCAAAGCTGATAACCCGTCGCACGGTATTTTTACTGTTTACGAAACTGTTAAGGTACCTCATTGTTTGCGGTTGGCCCAGAGTTGCGAAATATTTTAACAAGGGAAGAGCGACAAAATATAAATTTCTGTTGCATTAGTTCTTATTATTTTTACAGGCTTTCATCTGTTCCTACAGACATCCTCAGGTATGGAATAGATTTTGTTCTTGTTTTTACTCTCAGTTACTGTAATTATTGAACAATATAGTTCATGCCACTTTGACAGAAAATTTGCTAGTAAAAAAGAATTCACTTATCACTATATTTGTACAAGAACGCACAATTGTAAAATTAAAATTCAAACTCAACGTTGTGACTGCACGCTCCAAAAATAAAAACTCATTTCTAATAGCATTTTTCGGATTACAATACATATATTTTCGTTGTCCTCTTATTACTGAGAGTAAAAACAAGAACAAAATCTATTCCATACCTGAGGATGTTTGTAGAAACAGATGAAAGCTTGTAAAAATAATAAGAACTTATGCAACAGAAATTTATAAAAACAAAGATCTTTTCATTCATAAACAGTAAAAGTAATTCATCGAGTCTGAAAGAAACCTCAACAGAATGCAGAAAGCACTGGACAGCCGTTTCGGACTAATCAGTACAACTGAGAATTGAAACCCTGACAATTAGGCTGTCAAGCAAACATCATACCAACTGTTCCACCGGGCCTCGGTGACGAAGAGGTTGCAAATCAGACTCATTGTAGCGCAGCTTGCTCACATATTCCGTGGTGGAACTCTTACTGAGTTCTCTGTAACCATAGGACTGTGCCTCCTGGAGCCACGACTACTCTCACCAAGCCGCTCACTCTAGAGCACTAGAAGCCGGTTCAAGCAATGATGTACATGATAGAAATTATACATACATACATACATATATATATATATATTTTAAAGACATTTTTATATTTAACATTCTTTTTATAGATACAAGTATTTAAGTAAATGCTCTGTTTATAATAAACAGTATTAAATAACATTTAATACTGTTTATTATATAAAAATATGATTAAATAACATTTTATAAATAAATATTATTAAATAACATTTACCAGCCTGAATGTCCGAGAAATTTTCATAGAAAATATTCGTCGTTTGACAGGATTAGAACTTGCATCCTATACGGAACCGTCATTTAGCTTGACGTGCCTGACCTCTCGGCCACAAAGGATCGTGCTGTTGGCAAGGTCGAATTTACTGCTTATAAACTTCAATCTTCCATGAATCTCGTACATTCATAACTGCTCATGGCGTATCAAATGTAAACAAATGACGTCATACATTAAGAAGAGAGGTTAGGCACGTCAAGCTAAACGACGGTTGCGTATAGGATGCAGGTTGGAATCCTGTCAAAGGACGAATATTTTCTATGAAAATTTCTCGGACATTCAGGCCGGCAAATGTTATTTAATACTGTTTATTATAAACAGGGCATTTGCTTAAATACTTGTATCTATAAAAAGAATGTTAAACATAAAAATGTCTTTAATAAATTGTCGGACTTTGTCCATTTCTTAATATATATATATATATATATATATATATATATATATATATATATATATATATATATATATAGGAGATATGTGTAGATAAAGAAAGAGTGAGAAAAATTAAATCCGATTGAGGAAGAAAAAATATTAAAAGGATGATTTTAATAAAAACCAGAGAATGAGAGATGAAAAGTAACAGATAAAAGATCGTGACTATTAACCAAAAAGATCAGAATAAGAATGATACTTTTTTTTTAAATGTTAGGGTCAGTTATGGTGAGATAATATTGTGAGGACATTGCAAGAAGTAGAAAGCAAAACATTTTTTTTCGGGTATCTGACAACAAGCATTTGGCAGACTTGTACTCTGGCCATAACCCTTACAATAAGAAAATTGGTAAAGAATAGCATGGAAAATTTCAGGAAGAAAAATGATACAATAAAAAATGAAGACATGTGAAGGAAAATAGCTGACAAAAACGGAAATATTTATTCTCATTTTGACAGATTCAAACGAACTGAGTGACATGCAGAAAAAATACATAAGACAGGTAAAGAATAGATAATTGCGCATGCGCGCTGTGTTATGCGGTGTTCATTTCCAAGGGAGAAAGAGGAAGAGAAAGAAAGCGGAGGATGTATTTTATTTAAATGATAAGAAAACAGAAAGAGAATGAATAAAAAAAATGAACATAATGAAAAGAGTGACAAAAAAATGAAAGGAAATTTTAAGAAGGAAGAAAAAGCAATGTAACAAGGATTCGAAAAATAAATGGAATCAAAAGCAAGTCTTTAAAAGTAACAAATGGTTAAAACTGAGATAGATAGATAGATAGATAGATAGATAGATAGATAGATAGATAGATAAACTGATTGAGATAGATAATGACTAGACTGATATATATATATATACACACATATAGATAGATAGATAGATAGATAGATAGTTAGATAGATAGATAATAAACTGATTGAGATAGATAATGACTAGACTGATATATATATACACACGCACATATAGATAGATAGATAATAAACTGATTGAGATAGATAGTGACTAGACTCATATATATATATACACACACATATAGATAGATAGATAAACTGATTGAGATAGATAATGACTAGACTGATATATATACACACAGATAGATAGATAGATAGATAGATAGATAGATAGATAGATAGATAGATGATGGTTAAAGAAAGAAAGAAAGAAAGAAAGATAGAAAGAATGATACAAAGTACTTGAAAGGAAGAAAGAAAGAAAGAATGATACAAAGTACGTGAAAGAAAGAAAGAAAGAAAGAAAGAAAGAAAGAAAGAAAGAAAGCCGAGATAAAAGTTTAATGAATATTTTTATTAAAAAATAAGAACTTCATCGTGAAAAATGAAATATTGGAAAGAAATTGAGGAAAACTTAGAAAAAAGAATTTCTTAAAATATATATTATTTTTTTTTTCAAAAGAGAGAGAGAGAGAGAGAGGGACAAATTTTCGAAACAAAGAATTTTAATGGCTTAAAGAATGAAGACAAGAAAGAGTTGCATATAAAAGAAAAGAAAGAAAAAGGAACAAATAATATAAAATGTCAGTAAGATTATTAGACGGAAGGCCGGACGCAGGGAGGCGTCGAATTAGACCGAGAATTCTCCGTTCCATTGCCATCCGCCATGTTGCTGACAAAGAAAGGAAGTCATTAAATGGGTTTTTGAAGATATTTTACGTCGCTTTATTTAGTGCTAAATATTTAATTTGTCCGTCTCTTAAGACAAAGCACAAGACAAAAAAAGAAGTTATTAACAACGACGACTCCTTTTTACATTGGATCAGGTAGATGCAGATGGGCACGTACTCACACACACGCGCAGGAGCGTGAGAGAGAGAGAGCGAGAGAGGGAGAGAGAACGTATATAAAGATGCATTTATATACAAACTTATAGATTCATCATATGCATCTATGTTTGTGTGTGTGTGTGTGTGTGTCTGTGTGTGTGTGTGTGCGTGTGTGTGCGTGTGTGGGTGTGGATGTGGGTGTGTGTGTGTTTGTATATGTTGAGGGTGAGTGTATGTGTGTAATTTAAAATTTATTTCATATTTAAATATACATATATACAAAAAAGTACACACACACACACATATAAAGAAATATAGTTTTAAGGTGTGCTATATTTATGGGATAAAGTGATCAATATCAGAAATAGAGCGTATGTAAATATAATTATAAAAGTGAGCATTGAAGTCAACACTCAGAGGCTACATATATATATATATATATATATATATGTGTGTGTGTGTGTGTGTGTATGTGTGTGTGTGTGATAGAAATTATTTTGGTAGATTTGAATAATCATTTATAGGATTATTTAAAAAATTCCCGCAAAATTTCTCTCACTTGTATATCCTTGCTTGTTCCTGCTTGTAATTGTTCTGGAGGGAACGGATTGGGGAAAGAAGACGTGGCTCTTGGGGCACAAGCCGTTGGGTTTCGAATACTTGGATGAGTATCACCACGGAGATTAGTGAGTAGCAGAGTGTTATGATGTTGATTTGGGGTTAGTAGAGAAAAACGCCAAATAACACGTAACAATAAAAAGGGTTTTAATAGGTTGGTAAAAAGGTACAGAAATCGCCTGAGTAGTCAGTAACTAGCTCAGCTAAGAACTTCTCTGAGTATTTATCGATCCCCCCACGAGGATTGAATGTGGCACAAGGCCGATTTTAATGTGGGTTGAATCCGAGCCCGTAGGCTCGGCCAAAAATATACCCTTTGAACCCGCCTAGACGGGTTCAGGCCCTGTCTACCTCCCTGGACGAAACCTTGCCCTTCTGCTAAAACAGAGAGTTCGACAGACGTCGGAAGTCAGCTAAGAACTTCTCTGTCTCTCTCTCTTTTGACATGCCACTATTTAAAGTCTTTGTTCGCAAACAAGTTCATCTTCAAGAGGGGTGGTAGGTTTCCGACACAACACAGAGGTATATCGAGTCTCGTCAGTTTTGGGTTTTAAAATAAGTCAACAGTCTTCTCCTCGATTTTCACTTTAAAATACCACAATTAATTGATCAAGTAAGTAACTGGAAGTAATTTCGAATTTATTTTTAATTGACCAAATATACGCACAAAATAAAATAAAATTTACTATTTTTTTTCTTTTCGGATTTCCGACGGTTACAGACATTTTTTGTTTTGTTGGTTTCGTCTACCAAACTAACTGAACGCCATGATGAAAATCAACCAAGATGGCTACTAAATAACAATAAAAATTTACAGAAACACTTGTATTTCGTTACTTTAGATTTTATATATTGTTTTTGTTTGTTTGTTTGTTTGTTTGTTTGTTTGTTTGTTTGTTTTGCTTTCTGAATTGTATCAGGGGACTAAATGTCATGCCCGTATATTGACAAGTTCAACAAAATTCATCAGTGATGGTTTATATGCAAAGGGTGTCATATAGAAAGACGCTGATGAGAACGCAACAGAATTCGGCAGCACATTTGGGAAAATAATTAATTATCCACAAAATAATCAGTTCAAAAAAGAAGAAAAAGACAAACAAAATAAACAACAAAAAAGAAGAAAAGCAATAATCTAAATTTACTTTATAAAATGTAAGTTAAATAAAAGCTGCTGTAATATTTGTATCCGAGGCGGTAAAACCGATTAAATACCCACTTCCGTTAGCCGTGTCTCGACTATTAATGAAAGGTGCAACTCGCTGCTTGATAAGTGCAATAAAAATAACTTAGATATTTTATATGTCGTCACCCTTCTGGACGTGGGCAATCATTGTTATCTACAACATGCGATGCTTTGTAGCTGTAATTAATGGTTGTCCCGTTACTACATCTGCCTGTTTCAACCCAGGTAAGGGGGTCATAATAGAGAATGTTCTTTTAATCCTACCTTATACATAGCTTCTTGATTGAGGAATCGGAGAGCCGAGTTCGAATTCCAGCAGAATCCATCCAATTCACTAAAGTGCTAATACCCTTGGGAAAGATATGAATCCTCTGCTTCTCCCCACATGTATGGATGAATAGCAGGACAGACCGGGTTCTATAGCCGTGAATGGCAACTGGTCTACCGCAGAAAGAAATGGCAACTGTTCTACCGCAGAAAGAAATGGCAACCTACTGCGGAAAATCTGCCACGTCAGTTATGTATCGAAAGATACATGATCGCCTAAGCGTATATCACCCATGGCACATAACTGAGTGACTGACTTTCCAGTCGAATCCATTACATTCACTTACATGCTAATACCATTGGAAAAAGTATGAATACTCTTCTTCTCCCCCCAGCTATGAATGAGTAGCAGGACAGACCGGGTTCTATAGCCTTGGATGGCAACTGGTCTACCACAGAAAGAAATGGCAACCTACTGCACGAAAAATCTGCCTCGTCAGTCATGTATTGAAACATATATAATCGCCTAAACGTGTATCACCCATGGTAGATAACTGACTTATACATAGCGACCTTCCTTTTTTCGAATGAAGAAAATGTTTATTACGAGTAATGTTGTTTCCCTTCACTGGCCCCACGATATTTTTATTGTTGTTAAGTATCCACTTTTCGTCGCTCGTTATAAAACCCGAACACTTCCGTAAAATATAAGGAAGGAATCGCATTGCGAAACGCATATCAGTAATTTCTCTCCATCCATCTGCGAACATCTTTGTCTTCGGTGACTTTAATGCTCACCACAACACGTAGCTGAAACATTCTAATGGTACTGATGTTGCCGATATACAAACATTAATTTTTTTCCATTACCCAATCCCGCACTCAAATCGTGAACTTCCCTACTCGTTTCCCTAGCCAAACCGAGCAACATGCTTATCTACTGGATCTATTTCTTACCTCCTCTCCTCACTCTTGCCGAGCGTCGCAATACTGCTCTCATGGTAACTCTGACCACTCTGTGGTAGCCATTGATATATCCTTCCAAGCAACCGTTAAAGAGGAACATTCTATCCACAAGACTTTTTTCCGTTACCTGCACGCTGATTGGGACTCATTCTGTGATATTCTTCGTGATGTCCCTTGGACTGACATCTTCAACTTTTCAGTTAAAAATCGCGCCACTGATCAAAGCCGGCATGGATGCTTTCATCACTTCCCGGAAATACCAGGTGAAACCTCAATCCTCTCCATGGTTCACAGCAGCATCCTCGGCTCCATACCACAAGGAACAAATATTTCCAACTATCCCAGCATGACAGCTCTCGTCATAACAGGAAACGATTTGCTATTGCTCGTAACAAATGCAAGCTAGTCCTCGAAGGAACTAAATCCTTGTTTGCTGAGAGAATGAAGCAAAGCATAGCCTCTAAAAACTTTGCTCCTCATGATTACTGACGTCTCTGTAATAGGGTACTAAATAAGTGCAAGGTCTCTATTACCCCGACCGCCTCTTCAATCGATTTAGGGTGTTATCATTCTCTGCTGATAAATTCTCCTGAAACTCTAGTCTACTCCTGACTCGTCTGGAGTATCACTGCCTAACTTCCCAGTTAGAACTGATTCTCTGCTGAGTAATATTTTTTACGCAACCCAAGCAAGGCAGAAGTGCCACTAGCACGTAAGGGGTTACAGAGGATTGGGAACAAGAGTAAATAGGTGTGTTTGAGGAAAGGATACATAGAAATACAGGGAACAAGATCAAGGCATCAGAAGATGTCGATTGACATTACACTTAAATATTTGAAGATTATAGTAATCAAGCAAGCAAGAGGAAGTGAATTCCACAGACGGGAAGTGCTAGAGGAGAAACTATTTGAGTAGAAGAGACTGTTACATTTAACCGTTTCGCCAATGAAAGGGTGGGGCCGAGATGCCAACCTAGTAGCTCGCTTAAATTCATGCTGTCTCGGAACCAGCGAAAGTAGCTCATCGGAACAATTACCGTGAAAATACTTGTAGAAGAGATAGAAAGAAGCCACTTTCTGTGAGAAAGCGACTGTAGACGAGATGCCAGATCAGGACCTATCGCATTGCGAATTCGTATCTTGATTTTGTCGAGGTCTTCGAGACGTACATATATAACAGCAATATTCCATGCAAGGACGGATGGTTGATTTATAGATTTGAATGATGGAATCAGACGAGAAACACTTTCTGACACAACACAGAGAAACAACTTTCCTTGCAGTAGATGAGACTATTGATGCATCTTTCTATGGTCTCTGCTAACATCTCCTCAAACCATGTGGACCCGATAATATTGCTGTAACAGTCATAAAGAAGTCCACTCCCCGAACTGTTTCCTCTTCTCTCTAGCCTGTATTATAAATGACTAACTGCCTCCTGTTTTCCTGCTTACTGGAAGTCATTTTCTGTTTTTTCAGGTTTCAATAACTCTAATGCACCTCAAACCCAAGCCCGATATGTAGCTTTGAACATCTCGAAAGCCTTTGTTAGAGTCTGGCATTCAGGTCGTCTCCACAAGCTGAAAGTTACTGTATCTTCGGTCACATTTTTAAGCTGACCCAGACTTACCTATGAACTCGTTAAATGAAGGTTGTCCTGAACATCTACTAGTCTGCATACTTAACCTAGGGTTAAATGCTTATTCCTACGCTATTTTTCATCTTCATCAACTTGTCATCTACGCGGGCGACACTACTATTTACTCCTGCCTCGATAGTAAGGCTGATGAGTCCGACAGGGTCAAAATGGCAACTGATGTACAAAACGGCCTCAAGATCGTCGTTATCTGAGGCAAAAGATGGCTTGTTAATTTTATCACCTCAAAAACTAAACTTCTCTCTATTAATCATCTGAAAGACCCCTCTCTGTCTTCCATCAGCGTAGCTAATGCTACCCTCCAAGAAAGTAACTTGCTGTGCCTTCCCTGACATGATGTGGAAAGACTATATTGAATCCATTACCAGATCAGTTGCTAAGAAAGTCAGTTCACTGTTTCGGGCGGCCAATACTTCTCTCCTGAATCTATCTTGCATAACTATAAGTCTGCTATTCGTCCATCCTTAGAATATTGCTGTTATATATGGTCCGATGCCCCTGCGAATTACATGGAGCTCCTTGATAAGATCCAACAAAAAGACACATGGCACAGTGGACAAAGGCGTAGGTTAGATCCAGTGACAGGACCCAAAGAGTGTGAGTTCAATACCCGGTTAAGGCGGTGGAGAACTTGCAGAGGGAAATTAACAGGAGATAATTGATAACTGACATCTATTAAACATGGCACGTAGAACTACAACAGTCTACCCCAGTGAGCGAAATAAAGGATTCAGTTCGACACTCCAACCACCTGAAGAAATCCGGAGCGTACAACGGCCGAAACGTTGTGTTAAATATATGCTTTTTTGTGTGTGTGTGTCTGTTCGTATGAGTTTTTTTTTCTTTTCTGGTCATAAACTTTGTACAAATTGTCCGACTGTTCTGTATATCCGAACACTTTCGGTTATTCCTTTAGCCATTATCGACATTGATTTTTACTTTTACTTTTAACTAAATGTGTAGATTTTAAATATGTATCTAAAGTAGGTACCTCAACTCAGTTTCAATACTTTTCGTCTAAAATATATTTTTAAAAATGAAAATCATTCTTGAAGCTTTCTTTTTAGCTTTAATTGAAAGTTAAATGATTAAATTTACTATTTCCAGTAAGGAAAACACTCTGATGTATTTCAAATAGAAATTATATTGATTGGAATCTCAATTTTTGGTCTCTTTCAGAAAATTGGTCATTTTTGACACATTTGTAAACAAAAGTTAATTCACGATTTTAAAATTCTTCCATCTCATTTGAAAAAAAAAATATTTACTTTAAGTTCAAAATACCAGAGCGGTGATTACGCGCTTTTTTCACCATCGCTACTCACTCGTAGATCATTTAACAAGTGATGATAAAATGTGTCAACAACTTTACTGTTGTTCTACGAAGACTTTATCTGTTAAAACATAATTGAAGAAAATGACAGCTGAGCGCTTTTTTTCATATAATTTTTAAATACTCTGTAATATTAAAAATGTTGGAATATAGTCTCCGTAATCTAATTTTAGGAATGTTGAATTTATATGTACTATGGTCATCGATCTTATTTTCTGATTATGTTTTGTATGGTCGACCATACTTCCAAACAGTGTGTCACGTTGGGTAATATTTTATATGCATAAAAAAATTAAAAAAATATTTTTAAAATTTTGGTCTAAAATACTTTGTATTAAGCTTTTCCATTTTTGATTAATAAATATAGTTTTCATTTAATAAATAATATCACCTAATCGGGTGAAACTAATGCAAAATTTTAAAAGATTTATATATTATTAATTATTATAATTAATTTTTTTTTAAATTAAAACAATTCTTTAAAAATGTATTATTTCTCAAAAAAAAATGATTACGACAATAGTGAGTTTAATAAATCTTATTTACAAAAGCAATTAAAAGCTTCTCTACTTAAATAATATCAGAGTTTTATTGCATTTTTTTATTTTACAATCCGGAGCAGATTTTCGGGAAATGTTCAGTAGTTTAAAAAAAACAAAAAAACTTGATGTATTAAATTCTTCAAGGAGTCCTGCTTTTAATTAATAATACAAATTTTGAGATTGAAATTTAATTTCTCTAAATTTAATTAAATTAAGTAAGTAGTGGGGGGGACATAGCTAAAAAATTATTTTTTTACCAAACTTTTCTAGAATAAATATTTATAAAATAATCGCATTCATTTATAAATAAGTCCTGAAAGTTTCATTAAAATCCGACAATTATTTGATTTTTCAAGAATTTCCAAATCAATGTGCTTTCACGTAAAAAAGGCGCTAAAACACTAAACGTAAACATTACATCGACCGCTGACATAAAAAAAAATGGTTTAAACAAAGTTTCAAACGTGCTAGAATTGATTAAAAAATTAATAAAATAAGTAAAAATATTTTGGTCTTTCCTCTTAATAATAACATAAACATTTTGATTATAAAACTTTGTTTTTTTATTATGTTTGGAGCCTTTTTTCATCATGCTATACTGTTTTTTGTTTCAGCGACAAAATGGAGCTACCTAATAAAAATATATGTATTTTTATATTCGAAACACGGTGAGCACATTGTGACCGTGTTCCTAGGTGATGTTACTGAGTGTTAGCCTTTTCTTTTTTTTATTATCAATGCTTTCAAAATTGTTTAGCCTTTTTATATAAGGTTTTTATAGTTATATTTTCTATAAATATGTTCCGTATAGAGTTTAATAAGTTTCCTTATGTGTTGAAATGAATCCTAATTGAGCTATGGTCAGGGAGATGTCACGTGATTCTCCTTGTTATGCAGATAGAGCCATTTCTAGCCATTTTATATCCATAAAAGAAAAAATATATACGAACAGAAGAAAAATCAACTAAAAAGCTTAACCACAGTTCCATGTCAGCCATCTTTGTAAAAAAATAACTCTAGATTAAAGCAGAAAATTACGTACAAAATGCTTAGATTTTGGTATATAGCTGTTGATATGCCGCTAAACAAAATCAACCAACAAAATCAATCCAAATAACTTAAGCTTCCCTAGCATTTCAAGTAGTAAATTTTCTAGTAATTTTTCAAATGCTTTTTATTATCAATAAAACATAGGTTTACATTCTTCTGTGTTTGTATTGCTCTTTCTTTTATCATTCTGAGCATAAACATTGTTTTTTCTTTCAATGTCTTTAAGACAACCAAACTCTTCTTTTCTAATTCTATTACGCGCAGATTTATTATCACTATTACAATCCCATTTACTTCTCCTGCTTTGATTCCGTTGATCATGCCCCTGATATCACTTCAGGCTATGATATTTAAGGCTCTTCCATATTTTTGTGTGCAACAGATTTCCCTCTTCCGTAATAAAAATTTATATATATATATATATATATATATTAAGAAATTTCTATGGGATAAAAAACAAACTTGGTATTGAAGCTTCCTGTAATTGTAGATCTAAAGAAAATTATCCAGTATAGGGCAAATGCAGATCTACCAGGGTTATATATCAAGCAAACATTTCCCCCAAAGAAAATATCAAAAATTATAATATTTACAGTGGCATATCCGCGGGAGAATGGAAACAGAGATTTTATACCCATAGGCACTCATTTTCTAACTCTAAAGTAAAACACATGACAGCTCTTTCAAAGAAATTTTAGGAATTGAAGGAGAAAGGTTTGAGTCCACAGATAGTTTGGAAGATTATAGGTTCCGCATATATACCTAATAGTCTTAGGGGAAGCTGTGAATTATTTTTATAATAAAAAATTAGAATAATAAAATAAAATAATCAAAGCCAACTTGAGATTCTAAGGAATCAATCATAAATGGATATCTATATATATATATATATATATATATATATATATATATATATATATGGAAATTGAAGGAGAAAGGTTTGAGGCGAAAGATAGTTTGGAAGATTATAGGTTCGGCACGTACTCCTAATAGTCTTAGAGAAATTTGTGACTTATGTTCAGAGAAAATTTTAAATAATAAAATAAAATAATCAAAGTCAACTATTGAATCAAAGGAATGAATTAGTGTTAAAATGTCGGCATAAAAAATTCAAATTTACATAATATACGTTTTACTTACTTCGCTATTATATTTCCATAATATTTACTTCGCTCAAACCCTTTTAGTGTTGAATGTATAAATTCTAATTTCTAGATTCCCCTCTTAAACGTTTTTTTTTTTATTCCTCTCTTAATTTTAAATTATTATTTCATTATTCATATAACCCCGAATTAATGTCATAAGTTTAATATCCGGGTTTAATTTTATA